TGTTAAGTTATCAATTACGTTGCTCAGTAGCCATGGAAACAACGTATCAGCTAATAAATCTTCTAGATGATCCACACCAAAATCTTAAAAATAATAAACATAGGACAATAAATGAAAAAATTTCACTGATATTTCTGCAGGGGAAAAGCTGTCAATTAATGGTGTGGGCACACAAACGGTCTTGGTCGACCATATTTCTTGTCAAGAGTTTCACCAACCAGCATGGGCACATGAGGAGACAAAAATCTCCAGTTGGCCTTTTTCCACCATGCCGGTAATCACATGTAGAGCATGTAATTGAAAGGAAAATGAATCTGATTGGATGATGACAATCTGTCTTGAAGGCAATAAAACTATCATAGACAATCAAACTTGTTTGATATTATAAATCCTGTAAGGAAAGCAATAATCTTGTGGAGAAAGCACATACAAGATTTTACTCAAGATTCCAGTCGGTGACAAAAAACGCTGATCAAGACCGTTCACACAGGGATTTCATGATAGAAAAGTTAAGTCTTACCAAAGTCGTGGTTTCCAAATACAGCACATTTTACTCCTACTCCATTTAAAACTGGTATCATTTGTTCTCCTTTTAAAAATATACTCACTGAAAGTAGATCATGAGATAACAAATTGAGATTTAGAGTTTTATATCCTACTGTTCTGTATCTTATTGGACTAATGAAATGAAACAGAGTTTTATATCCTATTGTTCTGTACCTTATTGGACTAATGAAATGAAACAGAGTTTTATATCCTATTGTTCTGTACCTTATTGGACTAATGAAATATAGTTTTATATCCTATTATTCTGTACCTTATTGGACTAATGAAATGATATGAAATTTTCAACCTACGTCTAGAAGTCCATTTTCAATCAAAAAAATATAAAACTTACTGAGAGAAGGACTAAGAACATCTCCACTGAACAAAACAACAGGATCATCACAGGATTTAATATACCAAGACAACCTAGCAGCTCCCCCTATAGGCTCCATCGGACACGGCTCAATATTATAAACATCATTAAAATGTATGATGCTAAAGGAAGCCATTACAATCTGCTTATTGAGAAAACATTGGTTGGTCTGGAAACTTCTTAGTTAAATCTTAAAATGAAATTTCAATTCTGAGATAGAAAATGTATTTCCATATCCTTAAAGGGACAGATGTGACATTTATTCGAACAATCGTCACAGAAACCAGGAATTAAA